AAGAAGCTGTTCAACAGTAAGACTTGAGTAAAAGGAGAAGTACTCAGATCTTGTACTTGAGTAAAAGTAGAAGTACTCAGATCTTGTACTTGAGTAAAAATAGAAGTTCTCAGATCTTGTACTTGAGTAAAAGTACAAGTACCAGAGTGTAGGAATACTCTGTTACAGTAAAAGTAGTCATTGAGCAGATTGGTCCATTTCAGAATAATATATATGATATGTTTTATAATCATTGATCATGAAAGTGTTCTCAAAGCTGGTAAAGGTGCAGCTAGTTTGAATGACTTTGTATACTGCAGGGTAGCTTGTGAATATTAAAAACTAACATGTTGCATCACATCATGTGTTTTCATTTGTACTAAGTAGCTTGTAACTGAGTGTTTAATAAATGTAGAACAGTAAAAAGTACATTACTTGCCTCCAAAATGTAGTGGACTAAAAGCACAAGTAGCATCAAATGGAAATAATCAAGTATAGTACGAGCATAGGGTCATAAAGACATGGAAATCGCTATATATAAATGCAGTCTAGTTAGTTTACTTACCTCCAGCTGGATGTTGGTGAGCTAGACTTAAATAAAAAACAAATATAACTTACATGTAACTATATAGTCAATTATAATTGCCCATTTCCTAGAAAACTTGCTTTCCAATACATCCTAGACAGACACCCATATTGTGATCTTCAGTGTGTATATCAGACCTCTACCACTGATGATGATGATGATGGAGCGGTGCAGATGAGGGGGAGATGTTGATTACAATTAATTGATAACAGTTGTTTCTATAATTATAAAACATATCCTATTAGGTTTAAGCTGCTGGAAGGAGACCAAGAAAAGATGACAACGTTTGCAAAGCCATTTTTTAATAACTCGTATTTCAGACACTTGCAACAAGTGACAAGTATTCTTGATTTATTCTGAAATGAAATGTAAACTCACTTGCGGTTACGCCCGTCACTTAATCAACATGACAACATGAAGACCCCGATTACAAATGTATTTTTATACAGTTTCAATATCTTTTCAAACCATTTTACATACGATACTTGTATGTAGTGTCAGATAATGCAAATGAAGGACCATTTATATATTACTATAATTTCAGTGTACAGTCTGACAGATGGCACGGAAGGAGAGTTAATTACACAACTTCAAATCTCAGGACATTAGCAAAGTTACACTCACGTACAAAAAGGAAACGAGTAGGCCATGTGTTTAATACATTGCCAAAATCCAACAAAATTAGAAGCCGTGCAAAATGGCTTTCTTCGTAATAGTCAAGTGTTCCAATTGATAGTTAAATCACAAGAAATCATAACTCCATGAGGCACTTTGTCGTGTTTCTGTTTTATAATGAGACGACGCAGCGTTCATCCCGGGGCACACAGTTCCAGTTGAGTCAGCTCCGCTCGTCGTGCTGCACCTGAATGCACCTTTCAGATCATGTAAACATGTTTGGCTTCATTAAGACTAAAGTTATCTCCCCCTGCTCGTCTGTACGAATCTGGGTGGAGCTGCCCTGGTCCCGCCTCCTAGCATCATCTCCTAGCATCAAGCTAACAGAGCCTCGTGCAGCTCGTCTCATTCAGGTAAACCTCTGAAGACACAAAGCTAGCACCAAACATACCCCATTTAGATTTCAAGAAGAATGAGAACATCCCATTATTTAAATTCACTAATTCACATGTCTGTTTACTTGTAGTTAGCAGCGTCCAGGTGTTTGAGCGCTAGCATCAGCTACTGTAGGAAAGCTAACAGTGCCTCGGTGCAGCTTGTCTCATTCAGTCCAAACAGCTAGTGCCTAACATACCTCATTTAGATGTCAAGAACAATGAGACATCCCATTATTTAAACTGTTTGAATTAACATGTCTTTTTACTTGTAGTTAGCTGCGTCCAGGTGTTTGAGCGCTAGCACCAAACACACCTCATTTAGATGTCAAGAACAATGAGACATCCCATTTTTTAAACAGTTTGAATCCACTAATACCCCATGTCTGTTTACTTGTAGTTAGCTGCGTCCAGGTGTTTGAGCGCCCCCCCCACCAGGTGGAGGCTGCCAGCGATGAGGATGTGGATCTCAGAGGCATCACAGAGCGGAGCAGCTTTAGCGTTGATGCTAGGTTTCAACGGCAGGACTCTGTTAGCCGGGTCAGTCAGAACCGGATCCCGACCCTGAGTGATCCACTGCAGGGCGCTGAGGATGCAGGGGAACACCAGCGTGTCCGTCGTCGTCTTCTTCGGGAGACTGTCCTCAATCAGCAGCTGGGAGCCTTTGTTAGAAGCCTGGCTGTTGTGGAGACACCAGCTCCTCTCGTTGTCCAGGCAGCGGGTCAGCATGTTCTCCACCGACACGTTGAAGTTCTGCTGGTCTGAGAGGCGACACCATGAACAAGGTATAGATCACTAACTGTGTTACTCTCAGGTCTTCTGGGACAAGTCTGTCAGGTTACCCGGTCGGTCTGCGCATGTGCGAAAATGAAAAACCTACATAATGATTTATGTCCATAGTGCTGATAGAGCAGAAAGAGAGAGACTTATATACCATGGATTATTTTGCATTTTAACGCAATTTAAAAGATGATATGGTAAAGGGTGATTACAAATAAAACGGATCTCGCCAAAGTTCATCCTTAAAGGTAAGTACAAGTAATGTAAAGTCAAACTAGTTACTTGGCAGGTATGGATTTATGATATAGAATATAAATCAACTCATTAATCATTATGTATTATTGTAGGTTATACATTTTCGCACATGCGCAGACCAGGGTTTCCGCTAGGATTTTTTTCTTGCCGGTCAAGTGTCCGGAAATAATTAATTTTACCGGACAAATTCGAAACTTACCAGTCATGTTTCAATTATAATAATAAGAAAAATTGTGCAGCAGAGTTTCCATTAGCAGGTAATTACCGGACTATGATGTTTGAAACTCAGTTAATGGGGCTCTTTTTTATATTGCTTCAGTTTATAATCCTAACAGATCGAAATTTTCCTTTTTCAATAATCTTGAAAAAGGAAAATCTTCAAACAACCTAATTATTAAATTCAAACAAACTACTTATAGTTAGATGAAGTACATTATTCAAAAGTTTAGTCTAACTTTGAATAATAACACGGGAGAATCTCTCTGTATGATGATGATGTCATAATGATGTTTTGGCTTGTGTAACCATTAGCCAATCAGCAACCAAGGTAACCTAACCTTTTGAATTTACCGTTTTTTAATAAATGTTACCAGCTAAAAACTGGTAATTACCGGCTAATGGAAACCCTGGCGCAGACTGCTCGGGTAACCTGACAGATCGGGTAGTGACAGGTCAACTGTCTGTCCCCAGAGTCAGAACTAAACATGGAGAAGTTCAGTTATTATGCTCCAAACATCTGGAACAAACTCCCAGAAGCACTTTGAATGGCCTTGTGTTGAAAGGGGCTGCATAAATAAACGTGCCTTGCCTTACTAGTGAGGCTGTCCAACAACATCATTTACACGCATGTGCAAAATACCCTCATGCAATTCAAACTTTATTCTTCTTTCACACAAACATCTTTCACACAGGTTCAATGATCTCACCTGCATTGCATGAAGCCATGGCCTCGGTGATGTTCGGGCAGAAGACAGCAAAGTCAAACTGACACGGCTGAAAAGAGAGAGGACAGTAAGACATGAATATCTGATCATTAGTGTAGGAGCCGCATTTAAGTTGATTTTGTTTTGATTTATTTGGAACCTTTATTAATGCATTTTTCTGTTTCAGTGAGAGGTGTGCTTGCACAGGTGAAGGGGGCGGGGCTAAGGCTTTAAGTTGGAGGTGCGGTGTGTGACGGGAGGGCAGCAGCAATACCGTCATCGACACGCAGACGCAACCTTATGCTTCGTAAAATACAGATTACTAGGATCTGCTGTTTAAGTTTACGTTACATATTGTTTTCGTATTTTGTTTAATGTTTGCTGGAAATAAACCTTGAAAAGCAACCGAAACGTCCAGTGGATTTTGTACCGCGAGTTTGACACTGCTTTCCAGGCCCAAGCTTTACATGTGGCCAAGAACAATAACTTTTGAGGTATCGAGTTACAAGACAAACTTTTGGG